TAATATGGTGGTTGAATCTTTGAATTAATGAATGTATTTTAGATTTTCAAATGAATGATCTCTATGGAAAATATGATTCAACATCCTTTTGGACGTTCATAGGGTAAGATATATATAGGGAAAAATTTTTTGGATGGAAAGGGATTGAAAAACCATGTGTTTGAAGTAAAATAGAATTCTGAACGTCGACCTGTCGCTCGAGCGCCAAGCTAGCGACAGATGAGCAATAACTGAGCAATTATCGGTATTTTTATCATAACTTTCTCTCTCAATATCTGATTTGGGTGATTTAAAATGCGTTGAAAATCTAACTTAAAGGGCTACATTTATTATTGAAATAGCCTTATCCAAATTCAAATGTCATCTATGTGAAAAATGCGTTGCAATTTGCGACTCAGAATTTGGAACATAATTTGTACGGCTCTTTGACACTCTTTGGACTTTTAAATGCATTCCAATGATCATATGTGATCTTCTTGAACTCTTTCAAGAAGTATACTACCAACCCAACTCTTTTGACTTTAATTAGGATTCTATAACTCCTATTTTGATTTTGATTACAACTCGATAAACTCCTAATACAATTCAACTAGAACTTGATTTTGACTAAGGAAATTGTCAATTACAAATTTAGAAATTGTCAATTATAATTTGGACTTAACAATCTCAATTGTAGGAATAATATTAAGCGAAATGATATCTGAAATGCACACAAGCTAGCTCGCAAATTTCTTATAGTTCCACTTACATTTTCTATGAAGACGAAAAAAGATCTCCCGCCTTTCAACCCGTACCTTGCTAAAAAATCCTTCAAGAAAAGAAGTATGATTAAGTCGATCTGCAATCGAAGACACAAGTGTACAATATAATTAAACTCTACAAAGTCCAACAAGAAAAAAGAAATATTTCTGGTCCAATATCTCTAACGTGGCGATAATATTTTTCCATTTTTCACAAAGAAATAAAAAGGCTAATTAGCACAAAACATCCCTACCTTTGGGGTTGATTTCGG